AAAAACAGGTGTAAACAATAAGGAGCAGGTGAAACTAATGCGAGTGATGAAGAAAGTAAAAAGACCAAAACTGTGGTGAAACAAAACAGGAAGTGGCATCAAAATAAAAGCCTGACAGGAAGAAGTGGCACCAAATCCTGACAACTATCAACCAAAACACAGCCCAAACAGAGTCTCATAGCATATCAAACGCCAAGGCATACAAATGAGTCTTCAAGTAAATTTTAAAAATAGCCAACGAGGAGGCCTGCCTGATGTAAAGGGGCAGCTCATTCCATAGCTTAGGAGCCACAATGGAAAACGTTCTATCCCCTCTGAGTTTACGCCTAGCCCTCGGTACCTCCAGCAAGAGCTGGTCAGCTGATCTGAGGCACTGGGAGGGACCATAAGGAAATAAAAGCTCAGCAAGGTACAATGGAGAAAGACCATTTAAAGACTTAAAAACAAATAAAAGAATCTTAAAAATGAATCCTGAAAGATACTGGAAGCCAATAAAGGGATGCCAAAATAGGAATTATATGCTCCCTTTTACGCACCCCAGCCAAGAGACGGGCAGCCGCATTCTGAACCAATTGTAGACGAGCCAGTGACAACTGGCTGACTCCGACATAAAGAGCGTTACAGTAATCCAAGCGTGATGTAATAAATGCATGGATTACTGTCTCAAAGTGCTGGCATGAAAGAAAAGGCTTTAGCTTTGCTATTTGCCTAAGGTGGAAAAAAACTAGATTTCACAACGACATTAATTTGGCAATCAAACTTCAGATCAGAATCAATTTTTACGCCCAAATTCAGGATTGTCTGTTTCTCATACTGCTCCAGGTGACCTAAGTCAACTGAGGGTGGGTCACCAGACTTATTTGGGCCAAACACCGTTACTTCAGTCTTTGTCTCTTTAAGTTTTAACAAGTTTAGTGTCATCCAGTCCTTGACGTCATCAAGACACACCAATAGTGGCCTACTTTTCAACATGCCAAATTTAAAGCCAGCCAAAGTTTGTAGAAAAAGACCTTCTGCAGACAAGGTATAGAATTAAGTTTTATTTCAGCTGAATTGTGTCCAAAGCTATAGAAATGCCATCAGAGCAATCCAATTAGACATGGTTTTTTCTGACTCTGTTCTAAACACCACGTGTCTGTGCAGATTCTCAGTCATCCAGGTTATAGTAAACTGAAAAAACTTAGAAAAAAAATCAACTGGACTTAGGTCGAAGACATTTAACCAGTCAGTCAGAACTGATGAAGCCTCTTGGATGAGAGGTGAAATGTCTTTGACCTAGAAATCTAAGTCCAGTTGATTTTTTTTCTAAGTTTTTTCAGTAAACACCATGTGCAAAAATCAGATCTCTAGCCAGCCAGCGTCCGACTAAGATCATGGCTAAGATGGGGAGAAATCTCACCACAAAAGACTAAGACCAACTGCTCTTGCGACGAAGGATCCTTCTCTGAGCTTGCAGCCCAGATAAGCCTTGGAACACTGAGAACCACTCCACTCTGACCCAGAAAGGGCTCTGAAAGCAGTGTTTCTCCACCTGGATGCACAGAACCCCAGTGTCTAGCTAACTACTAACAGATAAGCAGCCTACACATGTTGAGTTGATGTTTCACTTAAATTAAAGTCCATCACTTACACATAGCATTATTTCTCTCTCCATGTTCTTGTTTATCATAGACCTTAGATCCAATATCTAAACATGATTTAAGCCAATTTAGCTTCATTCTTCCACTATTGCTAACACTAACCATTAGCTGATTCATTCATTATGTTACGTCCACGGATCAGGCCGTCCCCGGCACCTCGGCAGCTGTTACCAGGGCTATCAGCGACTCCACCCCTGCTCACATAGGAACACGCTCCCGGCGACGAGGCACACCTGCGCTCAATTAGCTGAACCATACTTAAACAC